TAATTTCCCCATTCCATTTAAAGAGTTTCAGAAAGTTGTAAAAGCCATTCCAAACGGATTAATACACTTAATGAAAAGTCACCTCATTTTTGGAAGTCACGAAAGGAAACTTCCTGAGTTAATAGTTGATGGTATTAAACTATTTTCTCATTCCTGCAATAATACAAATATTAGATTAATCTTTCAATCCAATCATTAAATCTCTCCAAGAGGGAATTTTTTTTGGAATGCGCAGATTTCTGATATTCATTGGAAAGAGGCATGGTTAAATTGTTCAGACACTCTCTCTGTTTAAATCTAGAAAAGACACATCTCTTTGGCCAAGCATTCAAATAATGCGTCTCATAATCTTGTACTGCAGTTATTTCTGATCAAATGCACATTATTATTCTTTAGTTTGGGTTAAACAAATACATTTTGCTTGGTTGGAACAGCAGCTACGCTAATTATATCTCTATGATGCCAACCCCTCAGAGGACCTCAGATGATGCCAACCCTGAAACAACATACAGAACTACCACATTTTGCTATAAGTTTGATTGCATCATATAATAATTGCTGTTAATAGTGTTCATCGTCTGTTTTATTATGTCTTAAATTGATTTTTCCATAAATTTCTGCCATATGTACATTAAATGACAGTCACCACTGATAAGCTACTACTAAATATTGTAGAAACTTAATTTGCTGTAAAGTTGCTTTGCAATGATTTGTATCGTGAAAAGCACTGTACAAATAAACTTGAATTGACTTGACTTGACTTGATTGGGTTTCAGTTTGCCTCAAATCAAAACCAGATATTCAAAATATGCAATAGTGCAACTCACCATCCACTTATCCTAACATCTTTTGCGTTCACCAAACAGGTCTGAAATGGCATGAGGAGAGGGAAATGATTACATAATAATCATTTTTGGGGTCATCAGTTATTGTTTGAGCCATTAAAGAGAGACTGGATGCCTAAAAAATGAGAATGCATCATTGGTATCACAACCACCTAAGGGCTTCCAACATAATTTGGAAATTTCCTCCACAAGTATTGCATTTTTCCATGACCAGAGTTAGTTTTTTACAAAATAATTTTACAAAATGATTTTCCTGGAAGACCACTTTCAAGCATAAAGGCTGAGCGGGACAAAAGCTGTCTTCTAAATATAGCAGCACACCAGCGGAGAATAATGTACAATGTCTCTGAAGAGTCCAAAACTGCTCCTTAGCACACAAACACTACATGCATTGATGACCTCTATATAGGAAATCGCCATATTTTGGCCAATTTAGAGCAAGCAACTGAAAGACGAAAAGGGTTCAGAAGAGAAAGCATTTGACGTCTCTTTGTGGAAAAAATGCCTTTGGTTTACCCATGATGCATCTAGTCTGGAAAAAAGAAAATCATGTCGTACATTATTACAGCAGCATTGGTTTCCAGTTAAGAGTTTTGCAAACAACAACTGCTATGAGTCATAAGAGGCTCTTTGATCTGCCCATTGTTTCTCGTTTGGTGGGTAACGCGGTAATTGGCAAGGTTTGTGATAACTCC